TTTTGGATTATCACCAGACCCGGAAAAATTCTCTAGCTTTGTGTTTATATAAATAAAACACATACATGGAAAAGTTTCTTTTGAATAATGTCTATAGCACATTGTGAATGCAATGATGTTTGTATATGGAAGAGAAGTTTTTGTGTAAATCATGACTAAATATATCTAAGTTAATATCCACTGTAGCTCAGCTCTTTGATTTACAGCACCACATCATAGGCAAATTTGTGGGATGAGTGTCCCTGACTAAATATAGCTGACTAGAGAAAAAGTACTAAGGAAAATGAAAAGAATAATAACCAAAAAGTTGTTTTTTCTTTTGGGGGAGTATTGGGGGCAGAAGGGGATTTGAGTCAGGGTCTCCCTGTAGTCCCATCTGACCTTTGTAGAATAGGCTGTCTGTCTTCAGTCTCACAGATATCTGCTTGCCTCTGCCTCCAGAATGCTGGGATTAAAGGTACATGCCACCAAGCCCAGCTTAACTGAAAAGTTTTTTTTTTTTTTTTTAAGTTATTTGTTGCTTTTGAGAGCTTAAGGCTGAGAGAATAACAGCTCATAGCTGTTTATCACAGGAGTTTCCTAATTGACTTTGTTATCTACAAACAGCCATTTTGCCCTTTTGTTTACCTAGAAGTCTAAATCATAAATACATGACTTTATCAAAAGATTCTGGTGTACTCAAGTTATTTTATACCAAAATAAATGACATGCTCATGTTAAAAGAAGCACCTATTACCCAGTTACTCAATTTCTTAAGATGTTGTTTAGAGTGGAATAAAACACTAAAGTCCGATTATCATAGAGAGTACTCTTAAAGTTTTGCTTGATCACATCAGGGTCAACCAGTTCCATATTATTGTAATCATAAAAAACCTATGTTGTAGTACAGATTTACTTTAGACTAATGTTTAGTAATCACCATCCAAATGCAAGACATTTTCCAAGGGATTTCAGTAATCTATATTTTATTTTTATTCTTTTCATTTTATGTGTATGAGTGTATTGCCTACATGTATATAAGTGCACCCATGTTGTGCAGTGCCCACACAGGTCAGAAGAGGGCTTTGGATCCACTGGAAATAGAATTATGGACAGTTGTTAGCTGCCATGTGGGTGATGGGAATCGAACCTGGGTCCTCTGCAAGGACAGCTGGTGCTCTTAACTGCTGAGCCATCTCTCTAGTACCAGTAAGCTATATTTTAATAGCACAAAATATTTAATCATCATAAAAACAGGAAAGTAGGTGACCCCCCCGCCGCTAGCTAGTCTGTTTTCTCTGTCATAGAGCTAATAGTAATCTTAGCACTTAACTGAACACTACACCACATTAAATGATTTTGCCTATATTGTGTTGTTTAAGTTGCTTAGTAACCTTATAAGGTGGTTGGTTTAAAATACAGCTTCACAAATGAAAGACATGCGATTTACAAATTGAAGTAACTTTCTCAAGACTATTAGTGAGGGAGAGAGTTTGAGAGCCCGATATTCAGAGGGTGGCATGGCCACAATTCAGGCCAGGACTACTGCTCCCCTCTCTGCATGTGATGTTGTGGTGCATTGTAGACAGACCTGGTCCTCAGTGACCTGGCCTTGTTCCTCACATTTGACCACATGGCCTCAGGTGAGCTTGTATGTATTCCTGATAGTGTAATTCCTGCTAGTGTGTGAAGGAGAGGAGCCGTGGAGAATCCTGGAACCAGGCCTAGGAGGATAAAGAGGGTCACACTATGTGGGAGGTATGCCAACACTGACACATGCCCCCTCCTATGTCTGCTCATCGTTCCTGCCACTGAAATTGGACTCTAATTCCTCGTTTTTTTTGTTTGTTTGTTTGTTTTTTCTAGATCACTCTCTAAACACAACGAAGGAAGGGCCAGTTTAAGATAGAAAAATAACACTTTAAAATGTCTATTTCTTGCTATGGGCATTCCTCTATTTCAGAGGATCAGTTAAAATTTGATAAAATTTGATACTCAGGGATGAGTAAGAAAGTGAAAATCCAAATAATGGAAAATGATGTACCTGTGAGGACTCCCTGAAGCCATGTGTGGGACAAAGGCTGCCCTAGTGATTGGCTAGATCTAAGCTGGGCATGTTCTTAGACCTAGATCAAGGAGTTATGTATTCTGTGAGCCATGATGCTGAACGGAGAGTGTAGATACAGCACAATGTTTTGGCTTTCCCTTTTGACCTTTCCCGAATCCTAATTAAAGATATTGCAAATTCCTTATAAATGGATCATTCTGCAATTGGTTGTCAAAGTATTTGTACTCAGTCTGGATCTAAATGGTGCTCAGTGGCCTTTGTAGAACAAGTGCCCAGCTGTAATCACTCATTTTCTCATCAGTGAGCCTAAAGAAATGTACTTTCAATCTCATTTATGGACTCTACCAAACACTGCCAATATCTATTTATAGAAGGAGGCACATGCACACACAGCCGCTTATTAAAATAGAGAGAATATTACATTTCCCCATTCTTTAGTTGTTGGTCTTCTGGGATTTGGGGAGCCAATTTGCTTTAGTAGTTTATCTTAAAGGAAAACTGGAAAGTTAAAGGAATCTAAGTGAGCAGATAGTGATGTATATCCAAAAATTGAGGGCAGTTACTAAAAATTCAGAGTGGATTCTTATTTTAGTGTCATTAGTATCTTTAATTCATTTTAGTACATAGAAGCCTTGAAATCCCTCCCTCCACTATTTAACCCTTGTTCTAATTTAGAAAAGTATGTTAGAAAAGTGTTAGGAAGTTCATGAAGTTGCACTGAAAAGGAAGCTCAGGAAAAACCAACTTTCCAGATACTCTGGTTTCTCTTTTCAAAAGCCTAGGCACATCAGATCTCTCATCGCTTCCTATTAGTGAGCACTGTCCTGCCTTTAGTTCTGTGGGCATCATCTGGATTTGATGATGATAAATGCTGTAGAGAAGAAGGAAAGCTGAGTAATAAGGTCAGTGTGTAGGATGCTTCTGATTGCAGAGCTAAAGAAGTCACCTGTCGTGTCTTGCTTCAGGATCCTGTGTAATACTTACATTTAAATCAGGTGTGAAAGTTTACCTATCATGTGTCTTAGGATTATTTGTTGGTTGGTTTGTTTGTTTTCGAAACAGGATTTCATGTTGCCCAGGCTAGTCTCAAACTTATTAGATAGCCAAGGATGACTTTGAACTTCTGATTCTCCTGCTCTAATGTTCCACCATCCCTGCTTCTTTTCTGGTGCTGAGCGCAAACCCCAGGGCCTCATGCATGCTAGAAAGACACTCCAATGACAGAGATGCATCTCCAGACCCTCTAAAATGTTTCTAAATGAACAAATTGAGCACTGTAAGAAATGTACATTGGGGCTGGAGAGATGGCTCAGCGGTAAGAACACTAGTTGTTCTTGCAGAAGATCCAGGTTCAAATCCCAACACCCACATATCAGCTAATAACTGTTTGTAACTCCAGTTCCAGGGGATCTGACAGCTTTTTCTGTCCTCCAAGGGTATTGCATGACAAGGGTGTACTTACCTACATTCAGGCAATACATGCGTACACATAAATTAAAATAATAAATAAATTAAAAAAGAAAATGTACAAATGTACTATAAGTTTTTTTAAAGAACAAAATACTACTAAAAATACAGGTTTTGTTAATAAAACTTTACTAAGTTTTTTTTTTGTAAATGGATTCTTGTCTTACTGCTTGGGCAAAGTATCTTTAACTTACTTGATTATTTTTTATTTGAAATGAAACAAAATAAGAAAACAAATCCATGCACATGCTAGGGAGGCTCTGGCAGTCATGACCTTCAGGTTAATAGTTTTACAGCATACAGCCTCTGTGATCAGAATGGATTTAAAAGTTGAACAACACCGGGACATAGGCTAAGGGTTTTCTCTCCTTTAGTTTCTTTGTCTCGTTTCATTTCTTTCGCCTTATTTTCTCTTGTTCATTTGCAGTGGTAAAACACCCCTTTCCTAGACTCCCTTACTGACAGTGAATAAATATTTTGAATTTGTGTGAGTTAAGAACTGGACTAGATTCTCAGGAATAGCGGTAAATGTGCTGTGCTCTTTTTGTTCTTCCCTCCTGGGTCGCACATTTTTATATTTCACCTGTCAAACACAACCATGCGCTTCTCCTTCAGTTTATGTATGCAAGATCGGAACACAGAGAACTAAGATGACAATTTGAGATTTGATTGGATGGAGAGAACCAAAGAGCAGCTTTTACTTCAAATGTTAAATGAAAGATGTGATTCTCAGATGAAAAATAGATGTTACTTCAATTGATTAAGTATATTCTCTGTATAATAGTTTACTTTAAAATACAAAAACTTCCCATCGGTGGAAAAAAGTTTAGTCTGGTAAAGTAAAATGCTTTAATAAAAGTATTACAACTTAATTATCAGACATAGAATGAAATAACTAATGAAATGTTTCCAAAGGAAAGGTTGGCTTAGTTAATAAATTAAGTTCTCCTGTGAGGGCCATCTTAAATCTACAAATAATGCCATATTACATGAAAATCATTTTAAAAGTTAGATTATATATACATCCCCATTATATATTATATTTGTTATTTGTATGGTAGTTTCTGCCACATTTTGCAGAGGTAGACTTTATCATGTGCAGTTAAATTTTCCAAAAGTTACAATATAAATTAATTCTGACTCAATGAAGTGCAAAGTGTGAGATTTTACTATGCAGGAAGCCAGTGGTCAGCTTCATTGTTGACAGTTATTTCTTTCGCTAGGAAATTATATTCAATAGATTCTGGGAACAAAGGTATTTTGTTGACCAAAAACGGAAACAAAATTTAATATCTCTTTAAATGTTTGCCACACAAATGTCCTTAAATCTTTGATTATTTTATTTATGTGTAAGATGAATACAGTTATACAATAAATAAAATTTCATGGTACACATGTTATGGAAGACATTTTAATGCCTAGCTGTTTGTTTTGAAAGTTTTTTCTATTTTATTTTTCATCGTCAAAACTTGTCCTTTTTTTACAGTTAATATCTCAATATCTAATGATACCACACTAGCGCCTGAGGACTTACCAATTGCTTCTTCTACTAACATGGTAAGTAACATAGTATCTCAAACTACCTGCCTATTAGCTGTGTGCTGCACAGTTTGTAATAATATGCATAGTACTATGTTGCCTACCATCTGGCAATGTTAATAGACCTTAATAGTAGCAAGAAAGAAAAGAACACTTTTCATTACCCTAGTTAGCTTTTTTATTCCTTTTTTTAAAAAACGTGAAGCCAATGTTTGTTTACACATAAAATTTGTTTATAAATCCTTCATAAGAATTTAACTGCTATATCTCATTAATTGTGACCTTGAAATAGTCTCACAAGGGGAAGTGAGAGTGGAGGAAAATGAAAACCTTATGGCAAGGGATTCTTCTGGCCAACCAAATGGTGCTGTCCTCCCTTCACTAAGATCCATTGTAGCATGACATTCCCCCTTGTCATTTAGAAAGGACCTTGCCTCAATCCCATAATATCACTTTCCCATGGCCTGTACCCAATGATCCTTAAGGAACTGGAACTAAGCTTTAAAAATGGACTGTTTTGCATGGAAGGTCACACACTAGAGGGAGACTTTTATATTGAAGAAATAGGGGAAAGTGCTGTTTCAGGCTTCTGATTGTGTTCCTTCTATGCCAAATATGGAAACTCACCAAGGAATATCAATCTCTCCATTATAAAGACAGAAAGCATAATACCTTGTATTCATAGAGTGCCCATCTCTCAGGAGACCAGAACACTCCTGTGGATATTGTGTAGAGAGTGCCGACAGCATCCTTTCAAAGATGACGTTTGTGTCCTTTCTGGGCAGCTCTCACATACCCTGTTTCTCACTTGTTTTGGATTCTGTGGCTCTCTTGACTTTGTTCCTTACCATTAGGTTTTTCCCTAGCTCCCTTCAAAACTTCTCTGTTTCTTTGTTTTCGTGTGTGTGTGTGTGTGTGTGTGTGTGTGTGTGTGTGTCTGTGTGTCTGTGTCTGTGTGTGTCTGTGTGTGTGTGTATGTAAGAGTATATCTATATGTTTTGAAGATCACATACAGAAGAGTCCTATTTTCAAATTTTTAGCCAGTCAATCTACTGCCCCCAAAAGACTTTCCTAAAATAAAGAGGGAAATGCTTCCTTTTATATTTTAAAGTATTTAACTAAAATTCTTTTTGTGGTTTAAAAAGAAACCATAAAAACATAAGTTTATTTGCAATAAAAAATTAAAAACTACTCACTTTCACATTGCTTCTCACCTCACAGTACCGCAGTGTTGAGCAGAGTAGCTGCCACAGACTCCTCCTTCAGAGAGTGGTGGTGTTCTCTTTAGGTATTCCTATGACTGTGATAGGTTGAGCTGCCTCAGTAACTCAGAAGGTTGGTGAAGAGAAGGAACCAGAACCCACTGCTTCTGATAGGACTGAGCCCCTGCTAAGTGGGCCATGTTGCCTCTGCTACTTGAACTTTTTGCAGGACACACAGTCATCAGAACTTAGTTTCCCTCTTTTCCTTTCAGCCGCAGTTAGATTTTTCAGAGAAGGTGCAGTAAAAGTGACAGTGCAGCCCCAGGCGAGGGAGCCCTTCTTTCCCAGTTCCCAAAGAACCTGCTGTCAGAGGAGGGAAGGCTTTTCCTTTCAGCTTCATTAGCATTGAGACAAGCTCTTTTACGCACTAGGGTGTATTTCAGGGGAAAGAGCAGTGAGGAGGAACATCCCAGTATCCAGATGGAAATTAGAACTCTAGAATGGGTGCACCTCATGAGGAGAAGAGCTGGGATTTCAGCGCTTCACTTGCTGTTGGAATCATTTTGTCTTCACCTCTGCCACTTTTCCTATGGATTTCTTCATGTTCCTGCAAAGCTTTGAGAGGAGCTGCAGTTGGTGCACCCTATATCTGAACAGTTAGGATCTTTTCGTTTCCAGTTTCTGGTCTGAGAGACCAGATGTTAAGATGAGATCTCATGTCAGCGTCCTGAAGATGAGATTGAAAAGATCATTTAGTATTTGTTCCTCTATCAGGTTCCTTTCTGTCCTTTTTGAAAAAGTAATTTGAGACATCCTTTAAATACACAGTTCTGAAGTATTCTTGTCATCGGGTTTTCCAGTGGCATACTCCATGCCACAAGCAATATATAGAACATTTGTCTATCCCAGAAAGCCCCATGGAATGATCTGTTACCTTGTTTGTGCCCTGATTTCTGAGACAAGGAAGACCTTTCTTTGTCTCTGCTGTCCTCACCCTTCCCAGGGCAGATGTTCATCCTTTCAGAAACTGCTGAATGCTTCAGAGGGGCCTCTCTCAGTTGGACTCCCCTCCAAACCATCTTAACACAGTATCTTAACAAAGTACCTGCATAGACCCCATGTACCTCAGGGACTTGCATCTGCTCTCCTAGCCAAACTCCAGTCTTAACATGCATGACAATTTGCAGGGTGCATATAAATCCTAGGTCTCTTCTGAATTTTCATCTGTCACAACAGGTTTCAAGCAGTTGTTAAAAGAGGTTTGACTGATTTCTCCTTCCTTTGTCTGTAGTAGATGTATCCTCAAGCTGCTGCTTTGGGGAGGGGCAGCATAGCCAAATTTAACAAATAAAATGTTTATTTTCTTATGAAGGACATACAACATTTTAGAGTTTATCTTATTTAAATTTATTGCATCCCCGTCTCTGCTGGATTTTTGAATCTCTAATTAGACAGATTACCTAGCTTGCTTTGGATGCTAAACTGGGAAGTGTAGCCTCAAATTCTTAGAAACATAATCTTAATCATGAGCAGAATGAGCAATAAGTTTTAATATTTCACAAAAGTATAAACAACTGCAGCTCCGACATGCTATATGTGATAAAGTAAAATTGGAGATTATGCAACTCTAGCTTGCCCATGGAGGGAAAAACCTAAAAGGAGAGGAACACCAGCTTCTTTACCTTGAAACATTTGTTGATAGTGTCCTTGTCAATTATACCTTAAATAGTATGTATTTTGCCAGTCTATACATACTCAGGGAGGGTAGTGGAAAACGTTTATTATGCATTTACTCCTTGTTTCCTAATCTACCCAGTTATCATGCCCACACTAGAGATTCTGTTAATTATAGGGCTATGAACTATTACAGTCACATAAATTTTGCTTGACAGACACAGAAACAAAAGTGGTTTGATTTGATGTACCTTCAGGGTGAGTCTAGGAGTTAACATCCATTTTCCTGGGAAATCGAATGTTAAATTAATCTTCTTATACCTAGCATCCTTGTGAATATATCCCATTGAAAGAAAGCCAATTGTAAAAAACATTCTGCCCTCAAATCTTTTTGAAGTTACCCATGCTCCTATTTTAAAAACATGTTACAGAAAACTTCAAGTATGTACTGAAATCAAAGGACAATGGACTCCCTTAAAGAGGTCACCTACCCTCAAATGCCAACATTTTGTCTTCTGTTTTATCTGTTTCCCACTCTGGGTGGGAATGGTATGATACTTTAATTTTCAAAAAAATCCTTCTATTTTTGAAGAATTGAGAAAAAATCCATTTAGTATAAGTAATTCTCTTGGAAATGAGATCCAAAAGAATAAATTGAAATCTCTGTTAGAGTTCTCAGCTGCTTGGTCCTCTCTTCTCTTTCCTCATCACGCATTTACCCAAGCACTGTGATCTGCCCCATCTCATTCATGCCCTGCTAGCTCTTCCATATGGTGAAGCATTCATAATTCTTTTTTTAAAAACTTGTTTTTGATGGTTGATTTAAAAAAAAAATTTATGTCTGAGTGTTTTGTCTATTTGTATGTAAGTGTACCCCTGTTGTGCAATGCCCATGAAGGCCAGAAGAGTGCATCAGATCCCCTGGAACTCGAGTTACAGATGGGTGTTAACCATCATGTGGGTCCTCTGCAAGAGCAGCCAGTGCTCTTACCTGCTGAACCATCTCTCAATCCCCACTTATTCATCCTTTTTTGTTCATTTTTTTCATTGAATTTTTTGTGAATATTGTACAACATATGTGGTCCTATTTAGACCCCCCTCCCCTATCTGCACCCTCCTTAATACGTCATATATGTTAAGTTCTATATATATATAAAATTTTATTTCTGTAAGGAAACTTGTAAAATTTGTTGTTCTTTTATTAGCCTTTTTTACTGCCTTAAACCTTATAGTAGTTTTGTCCACGAATTAGGTTTTGGCATATTCTATTTCCTCTTGGGTACACTTTTATTTTCCAGAGGCTATTGTTATTCAAAATAGCCTACAGCTGAATGAAGTAGCATAGCCAAATTTAACAAATAAAATATGTAGTATTTGGTTACATCTGAATATCAGGTAAACATTGAACAATTTTTAGTGTATGTTCTGAATATTGCATAGGACATGCTTACACTAAAAATAGCTATTGTTTAGTTAAAATTGAAGTGTTAACTGAGCATCTTGTATTTTACCCGGTAATTTTAAATGGAAAGCTTATTATACTTTAATTTTATTCTCTGTACAGAAAGGGTTGATAAAGGATACATTCTTTGAATATATCAAATACTTTAGACATAATGAAAGATTTCATTCACTTAGTTAACTAATGAGATCTGTTTGGTGCCTGCCATACCCTAAACTGAACTCTGCCCTTCCTCCATTTGTATTGTGTTTGTGACGCACAGTCTCATTGGTCCTCAGGCTGTATAGTTTACTATTTGTAGCTTTTACTCATCTCCATTCCAAGTCTTTGTCTCACCTTTTTCTCCATTCTTATTTTTCCCACCACACCTTTTCCCTTTCCATTTCCGTGTTTTTCCCCCTCATCCACTGCAAATAGCTCATGTCTTCAATACCCCTGAGAAACCTTACCTTGACCTTATAATGCTCTCTTGTTCTAGACTATTCTTTGTTACTGTATTTCTTTTAAAAAGTAGTCTGTAATAGTCTGCTGTTGTAATTTTTTTACTCCCACTCATTTCTCAGCTCATTATGCATCTTTTACCTATAATCCTAAATGAATTCATAGTATTTTGTGGTATCTTAACTTCCTTTGCGGATACACTGGATGTTTTACACTATAGCATATTTTCCCTTTGTAGTTGTCTTAAGTCAGTACTTCTGGGCTAGCTCTTTACAGTTGAAGTCTCCTACCTTGACATCTCTCCTAGACTCAGATCTCCTGACCCATCAGACATCTCTCTGAGTCTTTACAAACTTCTGTCACTAAACATTGAGGGGAGCTGCATTATAATTACCATAGAAAGTTGTAAGCACTGTACAATAGACAGTGTGAGAGTTATAATAGGCAGAAAAGACATCTGAGGCTATGTTCCCATTTGTCTTGCTCTTAAAGACTGGAGAGAATTTTGCATAAGAAATAAAGATCAAAACCATAGAGACATAATAATCGTCTGTCATGGGGTAACAACCACTGGCAGAGATGCTGAATCTCCTGAACTAAGCCCCCAGGAGACAATGGTAGCTTGAACCCAGGTGGTAGCTATGGCTGCAGATGAATTTCTTTATGATATAAATCCTTCCTGAAGTCTTATGAACTTTATCTTCATTTATATCAGATTATATGAAATAACAACCAAAATAACAAAAATTATATAGATGTATTTTGAGTGGTATTCAAACAGAATTGTTGGCCACAGGTTAAGTTTTATGGGAGTGGCAAACTGAGTTTTGTAAAATTATATATGCTGCAATATATGCACGCTGCCTAAAGTTTTTATATGTAAGACCTTAGTGGTAGATAGATGGGGCTTGGACATTAATATTTTGGTAACGATAAAAGATTAATTTAGCACTTGTAAAATATTGACATTGACACTCTGTGCAAGCAAACCTACTATCATCTCATGAACATCTGTGCATTTTTTACTTCAACCTGAATCTTTCTAAGGAAATTGATAAAATTGCTGTTGAGATTGTTGTGGTGTGCCTCGCATCTCTGGGGAACTCTAGCTATAGAGAAAGACTCTTGCTTATATTGCTATCCTAAAGTGAAATTAGGGCACATTTTTGCTGGATTTAAAGCAAAGTAACATGTTACCAATTATGACCTCTGTGCAGTAATTATGTTCTGAAAACATCTGTAGAACTCAAAAAACAAAAGGAGGCATGACTTATCACCTTTTAGAAACAGAGTTTGATAAAAGACCAGTTATACAACTCACTTATTTATAAACTGAAGTTAGCAAAAAAATATTTCAAGTGAAAGTCTAGAGTTGATTTTTTATTGACTTGTATAGCACTTTAACTTTGAGCTCTATGAAAACCTCAACTCTTTCTGGTCAGAGATTCTTTATGACTATAACACTCTTATCAAGAGAAGTCATAGAATGGTAAAAGATGTTGATGATTTGCTTGGGATGAGGCAGAGATCTTGCCTTTAAAAGACAGGAGATATTTATCATCCCACATTTTTTAGAAAGTATTTTCAAGTAACTTTTTCATTAGCACCTGATGTATTTTTTTTTTAGTCTGGAACCCAAGAGGACATAAGCTTGAGGGTGTTTAGAAAGCCTCTAAGCCGTGATACCCAGTCATTTCTACCCAATCATGTTAACATTAATTTAGGTAGGTAAATTCTGGAAATCAGTGTCTTAGTAAGCAGCCATTACTGACTGTTGCAGTATGAAAAAATTCTCTCTGTGTGGCAAAACCAACATATTTAAAGGATAAGTATTTAATAAAGCTCAAATAAGAAATAGCTGTGCAGAAAATTTTTAAGCAAGGGAATGAGTTGCCAGATAACTATTAATCACAAAAAAATGTTCAAGCAGAGAACATTCATCTCTCAGGGATATTGAATACGAAGGGGTGAGCAATCTGGTTAAAATAACTTATGGATTTCCCCAAACACAAGTATTCTAGAAAAAAAAATCCTTAGGCTTAGAAGCCAGTCACTTTCAGTTGTCCAGTAATTCACATAATTTGGCTATATTAGAAGCAGATTCTAATACAGGAATTTTATGTGTATGTTACTAGTAGACAGGGTAGCCTCAAAAATGGAAACAGATCAGAACAGGGAGTTAATAAATCTCACCCGAGTTTAGCATCAGCTTGATTTTGTGGGGGGCCTGGAGCACAAATTGCGCCCCAGGGTTGCTCCTCCTTTGAGAAAAAGGGATTAGCCTATACCCTCTGTGAGGGCTGACCTGGTGATGGGTGAGGTAGCTGTCCTGTGACAAAAGCCAGCCAGCTGTGAATGGAAAGTGACCAACACCCAGAGCTGCCAGAGGTAGGAACACAGGTGCATCCACTACTCTAGCAAAAGGACTCCTGTGTAATAGAAACAGAATGTAGGGTCACTGCCAGAAGGAAGCGTAGTATTGACAATACTGCAGCCACACATGAAACTGACCTGCATGCTTGAGATTGGAGCATGGGACCATTGATCTCACAGCTGCAGGAGCTTATCAGCATCACATCCACTCTACTTATTGATGCTCAAAGTTCTGACTTGCAGTCAACACACACACACACACACACACACACACACACACACATTGCCAGAAAAGTATGGGACCATGCACACATATATAGTTTAATTTCTTCAGTCGCCAGGCTCTACTCATTAGAATAAGAAATAGGTGATTTGTGAAAGTACCAGGTTAGTTACCTTCCTATCACTTTCAGAACATCTGTAGTTCCATAAGTGCAGAAGAAGATGCAGAAGCCATGCACTATGAAATAACTACTGTGCACTATGAAATAACTACTTTTTGAACAATAAAGGTGTTTTAGAGTGTCTCATATTTTGAGATTTAGGATATTAATGTGTCTCAGTTGATGCTTAGGAAGGTTGGCAGGAAAGGATTTTGTGGTTTGTTTCTGTTGAACAAATGGGAGATTGTAATGTAGTAGGCCAAACTGGGTGACACACTGCATCGTCTTACTGTGCTGATAATCGTTGCCCTCTCTGCCCCCTGTTATTCTAGTAATACCTCATCATATTACATCCTCCAGTAATTATCTTCAGGTTGTTTTATAGAAAGTTACCATATAATCTACATGTAGCTCATCATGTGTGAAAAGCTGCTTTAGATACGTCAATATTCTCTTTTAAAAACCCTCTACTTTTCTTCTGCAGTACCATAATGCTACCTTTGACTGGGCCCATTTGTCGAAGAAGGAGTGTTTGAAATACGGAGGACAGCTTGTGGGAAACAACTGTGATTTTGTTCCTGATATCACACTCATGTCTTTCATCCTCTTCTTGGGCACTTACACGTCTTCTATGGCTATGAAAAAATTCAAAACTAGTCGTTATTTTCCAACCACAGTAAGTACCTGTGATTTAATAATTTTCACTGTATCAACAATAATGCAATTTTACAAAATAGAAAAGGCACCTGCAATTCAACTTCTTCAATATTGTCTTGTGCATTTAAAAAATTGCATTCCAGTCTTTGTTCAGGTGAATGCATATCTAATATAATTATAGTTCTGCTTTGAAAAGCTTTCCACATATTTGTGCAATCATTCCTTAAGCTCTGGCTGTCATAATTCTTAATGTACATAAAAGAAAAAATGGAATATATTCCATCTAAACACCATGAGTGAAGAAAAATCCTTTAAATTCATGATGTTTAAATACATATGAAAAATTCTTTTCATATTAATCAGGATTTTTGATGTTGTGGAGTTTCTCATTCATTGGCTGTATATATTTTAGTAAATGAATGCAGGCTGTAGGAGTAAACCAAAACTGTGTTGCATACTAGTATTAGTGTAAGATATGACTGTCATTTGAGCCAAATTTTCCTTTCCATAATAATGAGAGCTGTAGTACTGAGGTAGTACTGTGAGTTTAACTGAGCTGTACAGACTTCCTGTCTCCTATTACTATGCTTGGATGAACTTAAATTCAAAACTGGTTCTTTGAGAGACTAAGATAAGACCAACATTTAGTTAATAACATATTGTTTATTTTACCTGTGGAATGAACCTAAGATACTCCTTTGCTTTACAGTTCAGTTCTTAGTGTTTAAGAGGTCAGTGTTTTCAGATAATCTCAATTACATCTGATTTATATCAATGACCTGTTCTGTACAGCTGGCATCTCATGGAATCACTTCATGTTTTATGCAGAACTTTAGAACATGAACGCCCCTTTTCCAATTCCTAGAAAATGAAATTTAAGACATTCAGTTTTACTCAGGAAATTGTGGACTTTCTGATTTCTTCTTTAGCAATAGAAAATAAGGAGAAAAGTTGATAATAAAATGTCTAGAAGTAGATGGCCCAAGGAATGAAAAATCTCCTTAAAGAAAAATGCAAAAAGAAGGGTTCATCTTAGCCTGCTTAAAATAGACATTCTATACTTGAGTTTGGCTTGAAAAATTCAGCTCAGAGACATTCTTTGTACAGCACACACTGCACACACACACACACGCACACACACATTACCTAGATCCTGTATTCTGTTAAGACTTCCCTGCTTGACACATACAGATTAAGTGACTGCTCTTGAGAACATTAAGGACTGTGGCCCCAGTTCATAACCTGGGAGATGAGCTTAACTTGATCAGCTTCTTCAGCAGAATTAGTTTTGTCTGGAAAAGATTCCTGGGTAAAAAGGTTTTGAGAACAATTTCTCCTGCATGGTAGTTTTTCCTTTGTAATTACCAGTTCACTGGGATCTTGGTTTTTGTTTGTTTTCATTGCATTTTGACTTATATTTTATGGCTCATTACAACCTGTCAAAGTCTAAAATGTTTTAAGAATAGTCAGTGGAACAGTGGAAAATTTGTAAAATTCATGTAAATTGCAATCTACAAAATAAACATGTCAACCTTCATATGGAATTTAATTCTTTCCTATTTTTAATCTTGACCGAAAAGTAATAATTATATGCATTATGGAGTACAATATCATACTTTAATGTCTGAATACATTGTGGAATGATTACATCAGGCTAATAATATCCATAATTTCACATGCTTAAATCATTTCTGCAGCAGGAACAATTAAAATTTCTTTTGGTGCACACCTGTAGTCCCAGCCCTTAGGAGGCAGAGGCAGACGGATGTCTGAGTTCAAGGCCAGCCTGGTCTACATAGTGAGTTCCAGGACAGCTGGGGCTACAGGGAGACCCTGCTTCAAAAAGAAAAAAATAAATTTTTCTTTTGGCAATTTTGGAAATAACATCAGCATGCAATGCAATAACTCTACAAACTTAGTCCTCCAGTTTAATGGAACTTTGCATTCTCTGACCAACATCCTCCCCTTTTTCCCTTGCTCTGCTGTCTAGGCCTATGACTTTGACTTTCTAAATATCCATATAAGTGAAATCATGCAGAATTTCTTTTCTGTGTCTGCCTTATTGTACTTTGAAAAATGTCCTCTAGGTTTCTTCAGTTTGTCTCAAATAGTAGAATTTCCTTCTTTTCAAATTCCAAATAGTATTCTAATTATATATTTAATTCTGTATAATTATATTACCATATTAATATGGTCTATATTTTTATTTTACATTTATTCATTCACCCTTTGGTGACATTTGGGATGATTCTTTCTCTTGGATCTTGTGAACGATGCTGTGATGTATGGAAATGCAGTCAGTCTTTGGCACACTAATTTCATTTACTTTCATTATATACTGAGTAGTGTGGTGCTGGATCATATGACAGTTCTACTTTAGATTCTTTGTGGGAACCTCCCTTCTGTTATCTTCAAGAGCTAAACTAAGGTATATTCTCAGCAACAGAATGCAAGCGTTCCCTTTTCTCCAAATCTGTGCCACAACTTGTGTTCATTCTTCTTGACGATCATTTAAAAAAGATCGGCATACTTTTATTTTATGTATCTGATTGTTTTGCCTCCATGTATGTATGAAGTGTACCGCATGTGTACAGTGCCCATTAAGGTCAGAAGGGACATCAGATCCCCTAAAACTGGAGTTACAAGCTGTTGTGTGCTGTCAAGTAGGTCTTTTTGAGACAAGGTCTCCCTGTAGCCCCAGCTGTCCTGGATTCACTATGGAAACCAGGCTGGCCTCAAACTCACAGAAATCCGCCTACCTCTGCCTCCTGAGTGCTGGGATTAAAGGTGTGCACCACCACACCTGGCCATGCTTTTTTAAAATTAAAAACTTTTGTTTTATGAGAATTTCATACATGAGTACTACATTTATATCATTTCAACCCCTCCCTCTTATACTTTTAACTCCTCCCAGGACCCGCTTCACTCTCTTTCAATTTCTTATCTACTTCTTGACTATTATTTTTACATATACATGTATGTATATACATATATGTAATGCACTGGGTCCATGATAATGTTCATTTTTAACATATGTAAGGTCACAACCCATTGTAGACTTAATTTGCCTTTTTTGGTGATCATTGATAGTGAACATTTTTTTCATATACCTGTTGGCCTGTATATCTTCCTTTAAGATATGCCTATTAGGAATTAAGTGAGTTTTCATGTTTTACTATTGAGTTGAGTTCCTTATATATCTGTATATTATCCTTTTGTCAGATGTGTGGTTTAGTCATTCCATACTTGTTGTATTACTCTCTTAATTGTTTTTCTTGCTGGGCAAAAGCATTTTCATTTGATGTAATCTGACTTGTCACCTTTGCTTTTCTTGTGCTTTTGATGTCGTATTTAAAAACAAACAGTATTGAAGTATAATAATGTTACTTTGTATATTTGAGAACAGTCTTTGTCCAGCTCATCACACCTTTTGTTCTGTTTCTAATATTTTTATGGTTTTACAGTTTTGCAGTTAAGTAATATATTTTTAATTGATTTTCTGCTTATGATGCGAGGTGATGGTCTGTTTTTATTCTTCTACATTAGAATATCCAGTTTTCCCGATATTGCTCATTGAATTGTCTATTTTCTGTCCATCATATGCTCTTGGCATTTTTGTTGAAAAATCAACTGATTGTTAATGCCTGTGTTTATTTCTGGGCTCTCTATTTTGTTCCCTTGGTCTGTACATCATTTTATTCCACAATCATGCATTAAAAAATACACCTTTGTAGCATAGTTTGAACCCAGGTATTGTGACGCTTAGAGATGTATCGTTTTTGTTCAAGATTGCTTTGCTATTTGGGGTGTTTTATATTTTCATAGGGATTTCACTCTTTTTTCCTATTTTTGTGAAAAATATTGAAATTTTTATAGGCATTGCATTAGGTTTCTTTGGGTGCTGTGGACATTTTGACAGTGTTAATTATTCTCATCTATGAACATGGGCTATCTTTCCATTTATTTGTGTCTTTATCAGTTTCTTCCATCATTTCTTTATAGATTTCAAAGGATATTCATTCATCTTCTTGATTAAATGTATTCCTTCATAATTTATTACTTTGTAGCTATTGTAAATTTGACTATTTTCTTTTTTAATTGTAAATTTTTGAGAATTTCTTACATAAGTACAGTTGTTCCACTGTTTATATTTATATTCCCCTTAGTTTTTTTGTACATCAATCACCTATGGAGTCCAATTAGTGTTGCTTATATGTACATGTGTTTAGCCACTTAGTATTGGGTGACTTATGGGGGGACTTTGTCCCTGAAGAAAAATCTGCTTCTTTCTCCCTCAGCAATCATTGACTCCAGTAGCTTTTCATCTAAAGGTGGGGCCTTGTGAACTTGATTTTCTTTTCAGAGAGTTTGTTCTAGTATATAGAAACACCATTTAAAATTTTTATTTATTTTCTTTTTACTGTACTGTAGACCTTTTTTCTTTTTGTTGAATCTTTGCTATTTTCATACAATATAATTTGGTGGTATTTAGATTCCCTCCCCTGTCCCCACCTCCCCTTATTGCCCTCCGCCCAATGTAATGAACTCTATTATATATTCAATAAGGCCTGTAAAGTCTAATTTGTATCTCCAAATGAATTTCAGTGTGGGTCCATCCACTGGAGGCTGGTTAACCTACCTAGAGCCTTCAAAGAGACTGACTCTCCCTCTCCTGGCAGCCATCTTTTGCCACAATTTTCTTAGTTGAGGTTAGATCATCTTATCCACTACCTCATGTCTATGCTAAGATTTTTTTTTTCTGGTTTGAGCCTGCATGGGACTTATGCGTACTGTTACTGTTGCTATGAGTTCATATGAGTAACTGACCAGCAGTCTGGAATACTCTTGTTTCCTTGTGGTCATCACCACCTGTAGCTCTTACAATCTTTCCATCCCCTTTTCTACAATGATCGTTAAGCTTTTGAGGGCTGGGGGCAGAAGTTTGATATAGGTGTTCTATTGAGGGATTAGTGCTTTGCAGCCTCTTGTTTTCTGCATGTTGACTAGTTGTAGGTTTCT